AAAATTATATGATGAGAAGTAAGTGGTGATTTTATTTTACCGCTCATGCGCAGTTGGTTCGATATTAAGAAAAAAGAGAAAAAGAAGACAAATGTTATGTGCGTAGATTCAGATCTATCTATATATTTATTAGCCACAGCAACGCGTGGCCGGAGCACCCCTAGTATATATATATATATATAAAATAATAATAATAATAATAATAATAATAATAATAATAATAATAATAATAATAATAATAATAATATATAAATAACACTAATAAAATAACAATATACAACAATTAATCAAAACTAAACATATCCAATAAATATTTCACGTGGCTACAATAAAACGCACAAAGCGTATTATTACCTGGAGGAAATAAAGAGAAAAAAGAAAAAAAAATTCATTTTCATATTAAAAAATTGTATACTCGATAATGTTTTGTCAAGTCATCGGAAAGTGTTCGGACCGTTTCAAAGAATTAGATTACTCACCCTGTATGTATAAAGAAGTTCCTGAATGTTATCTTCCTTTCTCTTTTATTTTCTTATTTTTCGTTTCTAAATGCGAGGGGTAGAACGACGACGAATACGAAACCGGACATCCCACACACCCCCTTTTTTCTCGTTTCGAATTTATTTCACCCTAATGCCCATACCTCCACTTAACCAAGAGGAGGGGAGTGGGAGGAGACGAAGGTGGTGAAAGAAGAGAGGGAACGTTCAAAAAGGTCTACGAACTTTCTCGCCATTTTCATCTTCTCTTTCCTCCCACTCTCCCCAATCCCCTCCCCTAACTCGTATAAAACGTTTTTAATCTTTTAATACGCTTTGCCGAATATCCGAAACGAATCCTATAGTTGGCAGCTCTTTTCGTTTCGAATGACACAACTTTTCTTTTCTTTTCTTTTTTTTCTTCCAAATTTTTTTAAATAAATAAAATTTTAATACTCGTTAGAGGGTTTGATTATTATTTCTTTCGAGCTAGTAAACGTACCGTATGATTAGTAAAAGATTATGATCATTTTTTTGTTTATTTTTTTATCCATTTAAAACTTCTCAACTTTTTCCTCTTACCCCTAGCCCTTCCCTGCTACCACTCTTACCATTAGTTGACTGTAATTTGACTAGAATCGACGATTATGATAAAAACGATAATAAATGCGTGAAAGTATATTGAAGTGAAATTTGTATTTATTATTTTTTTAAATTAAAGGGATTTGTGAAACACGTTTAAAGTATTTATTGCTTTCTAATAGACTGATTTAACAATAATAATATTAACAATAATAATAATAATAATAATAATAATAATAATAATAATAATAATAATAATAATAATAATAATAACGTCATACCAGCTAGTTGAGACTTATTTATTAATCGATAAAATTATCGTCGTATCATCGTATTTAAAATAAGAACAGCAGATGTGTGTCGTCGCGATGAAGTATTAACATAACAACAAAAAATAAGTATTAAATATAAAATGAATAGATTTCTCCAATTAAATACAATCAATCGTTGGAAAAAAAAAATATTTTTTTTAACGTTACGATCTTACCCCAGTTTTTTTCCTTTTGAGGAAGGAGAAAAGATGGTAGTTAAAAAAAATGAGAAAGAAAGATAGATATTGTCCTTTGTTACAAAGACAATGAAGCGAACGTAATGAAGAGGAAAAGGTACTGTACGGGAAACCTCAAAATGGAGTCGACCAACCAAACCCAACCAAACCCAACCCAATCCAACCAACGAAAGAACCGACCAGCCAGCTCACAATCAGTGAAAGTAATTTTCCAACGATTTCATTATACCGAGATTTACTTCCCGATTTAATTTCAATGAGAAAATCGTTGAAAGAAATAAGTACATACTTTAGAAAACGGTAGAATGAGAATTATTACAAAAGTAAATAAAGAAAAGAAAAAAAAAAGAAAAAATTCCACTAGTTTTACGTCATCGATCCTTTATTCTTCTTAGAGGGCTATGACTAAATTTGGTCAACGTAGGTAATTTTTTGTATTCTTTCCAGACGAACAATGATGATAACAATAGTAATAGTAATAATAATAATAAAAAGATTTTAAAAAATAAATGGAAAAAAATTATAAAAAATAAAAAAGATAGAAAAAATGTCAAGACAAAGACGAGTTGGAAACAAGTAACGCCTCTCCTCATCGTTGTAGTCATCATCGTCATCATCATCATCATCATCATCATCATCATCATCATCATCATCATCATTATCATCATCATCATCATCATTCTCTTTGCATCCGGATTAAGAAATACTTAGGAGTGTCGTCAATGTACGATTACCGGTCGATCGATCTGTGGCTGCTAACAATTCAAAACTAATTCTGATTACCATTTGTTCTTGCTTATTTTTATTTTTCTTTTTCTTTTTCTTCTTCTTCTTCGTGCTTGCCAACACTTTCTTAATTCAACTTCCTACGTTTGGATTGTATTATTATTGGTTTTTTAATTGCTTACCGATTATTACCCTCCGTTGCACATTTCGAAACGTTCGAAACGTTCGATGATTCATTGTTTTCTCAAGTAAAATATTATAGGTTTGTAAAAAGATTTGTTAGATTATTGGGTAATATGAAACTCAATTCGTTATGGATAAATTATGTGATATTTTGCATTCTGTACGTATACAAAAAAAAAAGAAAAAAAAATTATTATACGTCAAATAATAAAAAGCTATATATAGTAAACCAATCATGATTAAACTATTTTTGAGGGTGGATTAAAATTTAAATAAAAAATATCTGATTAAATATTTGGAACTAAGTAATTTACAATAATTTTAAGAATAAATTTTATATTTAATATTTATAAACGATCTACAATAGGAAAAAAGAAAAATCATTTTTATCTAAAGAATTTTTTTAAATATTAATCCACACATACAAACATACAGAAACAACGAAAATAATATATTCCTTTTGTTTTGTAAACCTCAAAGATAAGTTAAAAGAAAATTATAGGAGAATAGTGCAAGGATACATTTGACATGAAATAAAAATAGGAAAGTTCAGTAGCCTGGATCAAGAAATGGTAGAAATGGTTGTGCACTTTGACTTGATAACTGTTGTTCACCGAGTTCGTCAGTTTAATAACAGACATACACTTTGAATGCAAGTATATACACCTACGAAAGAAGTAAAAGGAATTCATGATGTATACCCGTTATATGTACGAGGATGTCATCAAGCTCGTGTCGTAGTTATTATTCGTACGAGTTATCACGTACAAAAACGCACACACACACATTCGTAATACATATACTCAGACCATTTTCATTTTCTTATTTTTCTAAAATTAGGAGGCGAAAAAGAAAAAACAACCACAAAAATTACTTTAGAAAAATGTAGGAAAAGAAATGAATAATAAAAGAAACAAAATAATAAAAAATAAAACAAAAATAAAAGTTGTCGTTGTCGTTAGATTGAAAATAATTTTCTTTAATAACCGTGCGTGAAACGATCATTAATGATCGTTAGTAGTTCGTTCATATCCCGAGAGATATCTAATTCGAAACATGACATGAGGAAGTTTCGCGAGATATAAATTATATATATATATATATAGTTAGTACAACGTGCTTATTATTAACTAACACGAACGGATTTAATGACTCCCCTCTTTTCTTTCCAGTTAAGACGCTCCATCGATAAATAGTATACGGTTAAATCATAAATGAGAATATCTATTGCGAGAAAATTTGATCTATCCTAGATATTAATTCGTGTAATTATGAACGATCTAAAGGAAAACACTGTAGCTTATCAAAAGTATCGAGGAATGGAGTATGTATGCATGATGTAATTTAACTAGATTATATAGTGCGATAAAACATTTACTATTTGAATTTATTACATGGAAAGTATTATACGAAGTTAATGCTAACGTAAATATATAGTTGAACGGAAATATGATGTAATATTAACGTAGATAATAATCGATTAATCTCATTAGATACAGTTATTTTTAGAGAGATAAAATTTTATTTGTATCTTTAGAAATTCAAAATAATTTCTATCTTTATGAATATATATTTATATTATTTATTATATTTTACTTATTTTTTACAGAGGTGTTAATTTAATAATTATTTGCAATATAATGGTATTTTTTGCGCGTGTTGAAAGATTATACTATTGAAAATAAAAAAATTACTCTTTTCTACAAATTACAATGAAAAATAATTCAAAATATTGTAACAGAATACTGTAAACAGATATATATATATATATATATATATATAATAAATATTAATTTTTTTCCAACATAAATTATTAAAAAAATTATTTATTCAACATCACATGTTTCATCTAATCATTTTCTAATAATATACATGAAAGATTTCTCTACCAATAATGCATACCAAGTGGATTAGAAAGCCGAAAAGAGGTATACATATAGATATACATTATAGTTGAATAAAAGAATTCTATAGAAAAATAATTTCTATAGGAATATATTGCAAGTTTTCATGATCCTACGAGAAAAAGAGTAGAGAAATAGGTAGTGGAAGAGGAGGGGGGAGAAGAGGTTTGAGCGGAAGCGGAAGCGTCGACACCGCGAACATTGTCGTTGCGGAAGTAATGGTTAACCGAGCGACGAGCCCTTCTTCCTATTCTTCGATGCATAAAAAATGATGGGGTGTATCGGGCCCATGGGCTTACAAGTGTCCTCGTTAGGTAAAGCTATTTTTTTTATTTTTTTTTATTTTTTTTTATTTTATACAGTTTGGTTGTTAATAGGAGCGGCCGATTTGCCGCTACATTGGAATTGACGGATAAATTATGTTCTTCCGCGTAACGTTATAATAATAATAATCACGATTATCATTAAAATCAATTTGAACGAACCTAATGAAAACAATAAATATTTGTTGTGTGTTAACGATTATTTATTAAATAATATATATATGTAAGTTTATGAATTTAATGTAAATAATAAATATTTTGGTAGCATTTGTTAATTAAATAATATTAAGCTTACCTTAAGGTAGGACCCATAGTATTTGGTGACGTATGGACTGTCGCATTGCGACAGGACCATAATTTCTTGTTGAATATCTTCGATCTCATCCTCAGCTTCCTCGAGATCAATGATTTTAATGGCAACGACTTGTTGGGTCCTATTGTCGATACCTTTGAAAACCTCACCGAAACTACCCTTACCAATGCGTTCTTGTTTCGTGAATATCAACTCGGGGTCCACCTTCTGCAACAAACGAACAAAATGACGAATAAGTTAAAAATATTTGTATTACAACAATGTGGTTTGAAGGAAAAAAGAAGGAAGAGTATGACTGTGATGACGATGAAGAAAGAAGTTAAAAATAGCAAGAGAAAGAAAAATTCCTTTCTCGCATTCCAACGTAATATTTTCTTTTCTTTTTAAACATTTTTTTATGTCCTTCGAGGATTAATAAACACCGTTCGCATGATAGAGAAGACTGCGAGAGCAATGCGGTTCTCCTTGGGCTTCTTTTTTACAGATGATACTTGACGTCATAACAAGCCTTTACACGATGGCTCAAGAAAATGTGTAAATCGCTGAGACAACGTCTGGGCTCTTCTTTCCCTTATCATCTTCTTCCTCCCTTCATCGTCATCATCTTTCTTATTTTCCTCTCTCTTTCAAAAAAAAAAAAAAAATGGAGAAAAAAAATTGTTTCTTTTTTGTTTTTTTTTTTTTTTACATAAGAGAAAAGTCAAGACTTTCATCTCTAAAAATTGCACAATGTTAATTTATGACGGAAGTTATAAACGGCAATATTTCGTTCAAATGTCGCAAACGGTTTTTTATGTCCAAGTTTTATTTTTTATTTATTTATGTTTTTTTTTTTTTAATTTTTCTCGCCTTCCCCTATTATTATAAATGTCACGTAATTCGAAAGTATTTTTAAACTGTAACGGGAGTCGAGAAAAAAAAAGAGAAAAAGAAGTACGTCAAATGCAAAACGTTATCGCGCACTTGAACCATCTTGGAAAGAGTGGCACAACTACTCTATTCAGCGAATAAATATCTAAGAGAGATCTTTTTAAAGCCACTTTTCAAGCATTTACGTGCTGAAGAATCGTAATAACCCCCTCTCCCCTCCCCTCCCCTCCTCTTTTTTGTAGCTTTTAAAACGAAAGAGATTTTTACAATGCAAATTTTCTTGGATTTTTAATCGATTTCATCTCCCTCGTTTCTTGAGGGGGATAACAGATTTTCATTGATACCCTAATTCCCAGGGTACTTAAATGATAAGAATTTTCTTTTATATCGTGCAACAATTTTCTTTTTCATATTTATGAATAAATTCGAAAATCAATATCAAAATGAGATAACAAACGAACAAATAAATGAAATCATTTATTTTTACGTATAAGAATTAATTGGTTATAAACATATACGGTTAATTGGAATTATCTTTGATCGAGTTGACATTAATTTAATCGTAATTCTCTTTCCCCAATCTTCTTCTCCTCTTCAACCAAAACCAATACCACCACCACCACCAAAACGTATTTCCGTTAATCCGATTTATAGTGTGTTATATAATATATAGGATATAAATTTGAGTTGCAAAGCAATTTCGATAATCGTCATTTTCGTATCCTGTATTGTATCTTTCATAAAATTATCTAAACATACGTGTTTAATCCGAACTTTGAAATGGAAGTAAGAATAATAATAATTTATATACAACTGAAAAAAAAAATAGAAATATATGTCGATCGATTGGTTAACAGTAAACAGTAAACGACATTTCATTGAATCAAAATTTAAAAATATTTTGAATCGTTTAAGTCAATATATTGAAAAATTTATTAAACTTATTAAAGAAAACAAAAGTCAAGTAAATTTTCTGAATGAAAAAAAAATTGTTTAATTAATATATTATGCATTTAATATGAATTAATTTAGCTGAATATAAAAGAAATGTTGCACATCGTGGAACACTTCTCAACTTTATATCCATCGTTCAAATTGCAATTAAATTCTTCAACAATACCATGAAATTTTAATTATTACAATAATCAATTTTCCAAAAGAAAAAGAAAGAAATAACATAATAGATCGAAGTTACCCTAAATTGTTTCCAAGGCGCATTTTTTACTATATAATATTTTTGAACATGAATAAAAACTTTTATCATCATTTAATAACCAATTAAGAAATTCAATGCATCTCAAAGATAAAAAAAAAAAAAAAGATAATAATTTAAGCGACAATGGTTAAATGCAAATAAAAATAAAAATAAAAAGAATAAACCATTCGTAGGAACGATGTAAAGTAAAGAAAAAGATGAAAGAAATAAAATGGGTGAGGGATTGAAAGAAAAAGAATAAGAAAAAGGAAGAAAGTAAGATGGGGGTGCACTCGTCGATGAATTTGGCGAAGTAGTCTAGAGTTTGGTGGCTGTTAAATCTTTTCATAGTCATTTTACCACCCCCTTTCATTCGTTCTACCCGTATTGCTCTTTATTCGTACTACTTCTCTCTTG